TATGCAGTTCAGACTGGTCTTGAGCTCACTTTGTAACCCAGGCTGGTCTTGAACTTGCAATGATCCTCCTGCCTCAGCCTCCCAAGTGCTGGGATTACAAGCGGGAGGCACCACACCTGGCTAAAGTCACTTTATTTTTTTATTTTTATTTTTTTGTGTGGTACTGGGGATCGAACTCACGACCTAGTGCTTGCCAGGCAGGCGCTTACGCCACTGAGCTATATCCCCAGCTCCCTCACCCTATAGTTTGACAGCCACTAATCTCATTTCCCTCTCTAGGCTTGTTTATTCTAGATATTTAATAAAAACAGAATCAAAATATGTGATCTTTTCTGTTTGGCTACTTTCACTCAGTATAATGCTCTTCAGGTCCGTCTGCACTGTGGCATGTGTAAAAATGTCCTTTCATCTTACGGCTGAAGGAGCCTCCCTCAATTCATGAACATCTGTGGTATTACAACCTTTTGGCAGTATGATGAATCATACTGTAAACATGCATGTGCCACACAAATGTCTTTTCATATCTCTTGGCTGTGTACCTAAGAATGGAATTGCTAGGTCACATGGTAATTTTATGCTTCATTTTTTAAGGAACTTCCAAACTTTTTCACAGCAGCTGATGTGTTTTTAACATCCCCACTAGCAATGAACTACAGTTCCTATTTCTCTGCAGCTTTGCCAATACTTTGTTTTTTTAAAAAAATGTTATTATAGCTATCACTGTAGATATAAAATGGTTATCTTCATCATGATTTTGTTTTATATTTCCTAATGACCAAAGACATTCAACATCTCTGCACGTAACTATTGGCTATTTGTGTGTCTTCTTTAGAAAAATGTCTGTTTTCATCTTTTGCCCATTTAAAAATTTGTCTTTCTGTTCTTGCATTGTAAAAGCTGTTTCTGACACTGGAAACTGAACCCAGAACTTGTATACTGAACTACAATTCTACTTCTTTATTTTTAAAAAGTTGTGATACAGAATGTTTGCTACATCTCTAAGTTGCCCATGCTGGGCTCAAACTTTTGATCATCCTGCCTCAGTCTCTCAGAGTACTGGGATTACAGGCAGGCATTACCATGTCAGGCTTAAAAGTTCTTTATAAAGGCTGGATAGTAATGTCTTATGAGGTATGTAATTTGTAAACATTTCCCATTCTGTAGACTATATTTTCACATATTTGATAATATACTCTGATATGCAAGTTTTTAATTTTAAAGAAGTACAAATAATCTAATTTTCTATGATTTTTATGTCAAACCAAAGAATCCAATAGCTAAATTTGAGGTCTTAAAATTTTACCTCCTATATATTCTTCTAATATTTTTAGTTTTTCTACTTAGGTCTTTGATCAGTTGATTTTGTATATGGAGCAAGATGAAGGTCATTATTTTGTATGCAGGTATAGTTTTCTTCATACCATCTGTTAGAGACTACTTGCTCCCAGTTCAATTATCAATGGAAGAAAGACTTCCTTCTTCATGAGCATCCTTGTCAAAAATCAACTTGCCATAGTGTTTGGGTTTATTTCTGGACTCTCAATTTTATTCCACTGTCCTTATACGAGCAACACTGTTTTAAGTAATGTAGCTTTACAGGAAGTTTTGAAATGAGGAAATGTGGGCCCTCCACCTTTTTCTTTTTGAGGGTTGGTTAGGCTACTGCCTTGCAATAGGAATTTAAGGATCTGCTTTTCCACCTGCCACCAAAATGGCCACTAGGATTTTGATAGGGACTGCATTTAATCCATACATCACTTGAAGGAGTACTGACATTTTACCAATATTAAGTCTTCCAATTCATGGACATGGGATGATTTTCCATTTCATTAGGTCTTCTTTAACTTCTTCCTAACAATGTTTATGTAGTTTCAATTTTAAAAAGTTTTTCACCTCTTTGGTTATTTTATTCTTAGGAGCTTTATTCTTTTGGATATTATTTAAAGAGGAATTATTTTTCTGAATGTCCTTTTCAGATTTTTCATTGCTGATGAATAAAAACACCACCAACTTTTATTAGATCTTGTACCCTGTAGCTTTGCTGAATTCACTTATTAGTTCTAGTGGTATTGTTGTGTTTGTGCACATTTGTGGGATTTTCTACATAGAGAATTACGCTACCTTAAAATACAAAGACTTCTTCTTTTCCATTTGGATGCTTTTTCTTTTTCTTGCCTAGTTGGTTCTGGCTGGAACTTTAACCACAACATTGAGCATCTGTGTGGAAAAGGAGCACCCTTGGCTTCTCATTCCCTCCCTTTGGGGGACAGTCTCTGTCTTTCAACACTGAGCAGAATGTTGGTTGTGTTTTTCATAAAAGTCATTCATCACATTGTTTCCTTCTACTTCTAGTTTGCTATGAGGGTTTTTTTTTTTTTTTTTATCATGAAAGGGTGTTGAAATTTGTCAAATGCTCCTTTCTCTACCTACTGAAATGTTTATTATTTCCCCCCATCCCATTAATATTTATTTCACATCAATTTTTCTCAAGTTTAATCACTTTTGCATCCTTGGGAGAAAACCCATTTAGTCACAGGGTATAATCCCTTAAACACGTTAAAGCTAGCTGTCAAGAATGCTTACATCAATATTCCCAGGGCTACCAGTCTTCAGTTTCCTGTGTCATCTTTGGCCACGTTATCAAGGTGATGCTGGCCTCATAGAATGTTAGTAGGTGCTCCTTCTTTTTCAATTTTTGGAAAGAGTTTGAGTAATAATTCTCTTTCATTCTATATTTTTACCGTGGTAAAATATACATGACAAAAAACTTACCATTTTAGCCATTCTTAAGTGTGGAGGTCACTGACAGTAATCACATACCCATTACAATCCAATCACCATCACCATCCACCTCTAGAATTTGTCCCATCTCTGAACTAAAACTGTCCCCATTCAACACTGACTTTCCCTTCTCCTCTTCCCCTTTTCCCTGGCAACCACCATCCTACTCCTTATCTCTATGAATTAGACTACTTGAGGCACCTTATATTAGTGGAATCAGGCAGTATTTATCCATTTAAGGCTGGCTTATTTCACTTAGCATAGTGCCTCAAAGGTTCATCTACCTCACAGATGTGCTAGAATTCCCTTTCTTTTTAAGATCATATAACATTCCACTGTGTGTTTATACCATATTTTGTGTATTCCTCCATCTGTGGACAGAAACTACGGGTGCCTCCCCCTTTGTGGTTGCTATAAGCATGCATGAGCAGGTTTCTCTCTAAATTCCAATTGTCAAGTCCCTGTGTTTGACACAGTGGAATTCATGGGTCATCTTGTAATTCATTCTTAATGTTTTAGGAATTGCTATAATGTTTCCTATAGCAACTGCATCATTTCACATTCTCAATACCAGAGCACAAGGGTTTTGATTTCTTTTTACATTATGGCCAACACTTGTTATTGTCCTTCCTTTTCTATTCTCTTTAAAAAAATTACAATAGTAATACTAGTGGGTATGAAGCGGCATCTCACTGTGGCTTAGATTTGCATTTCCCTATGATCAGTGATGTTCAGTATCTTTTCATTTGCCATTTCCTTTGGCAAAACATCTTTTTATGTCCTTCACACTCCTTTTGGACAGTACTGGGGATCAAACCTAGGGGTGTTATACCACTGAGCTACATTCCCAACACTGTTTGCTTTTTTACTTTGAGACAGAGCCTTGTTAAATGACTCAAACTGGCCTTGGAGTTTGCCATCTTCCTATCTCAGCCTCCCCAGCAGCTGCCATATTTATGCCTTTGCCCTTTTCTTATTTGGGTTGTTTTGTTAAGAGTTCTTTGTGCGTTCTGATATTAACACTCCACCATATACGTAATTGGCAAATATTTTTCACAGTTCATTAGGTTGCTTTTTATTCTGTTGATAGTGTTCTTTGATGCACAACAGTTTTTAATTTTGACTTGTCCAATTTACCTACTTTTGTTTCATCATGGTTTTAGTGTCAGATCTAAGACTACTTTGCCAAATACAAGGTCATAAACTTTTATGCCCTATATTTTCTTTTAAAAGCATTACAGTTCTAGTTTTTACATTTAGGTCTTTGATTAATTTTGAGTTCACTTTGTATACGCTATGAGTCTTTGTATATGGCAAGAGTCTTTATATACACTCTGTATTTCATTTCACTTTATATACGGTGAGGTGAGGTGAGGTGAGGTGAGGTGAAGTAAGGTCAGGTAAGGTAAGAACTTTGTTCTTTTGCATATTCAGATTTCCTAACACTATTTGTTAAAAAGACTGCCCTTTCACCCCTGACTGATCCTGGGCTTCTCTTTACAGAGAAGAGAAGAATCTCAAGGCCCACCTTCAGTAAAAATCCTTCTATTTCCATCTTCCCTGAACAGTGTCCATTCTTCTCACTCTAGTTGAAGCATAGATAGCCTCCCTCTGTCCCTCAATACTCATGTTCTCTACTAACGTCTTCCCTCCTTTGTGGATAATTTTGCACCTGGCTCTCCTCTACTCTTATCATCATTCATGTTGCTTTCAAGGCACACAGAGATGGGCTGATCACTGCCTGGTCTTTCCACTGGTGGGCTTCTCACCCCAAGTCATCTCATTTCCTAACTCCTAGAATATGCCAAGCTTGGTTATTCCCAGTGACGACGGACCATGTTGCTATCACCTCCTCCCTAGTCTTAACTGCACATGTCCCCTACTATAACCATGTCACCTACCCTTCTAGCTCATTGCCCTAATACCTGCATCCCAAGACTTCTTTATCAGCAGAAGAATCTCCAACCCAGTGCCTCTGCCCTTACTTGCCTGTAGCACCATGACCACATTCTCACACATACCCTTCTCTCCACCTTATGCTTGTCTGGGAAATTTCAAGGCTGTATACTGAACATCTCTACCCATGGATTCCAAGGAGTTGGCTGTGGCTAGAGAAAAGCGCAATCATGCTGGCTGGCCCGACTCTAGGTAGTGGCTATAGATGTGAGGATCTCCTCAGCACTGTGCATGGTGGGAAAGGTGTCTGTTCCTGTTATTCCCCTCACTTCTCACTGAGCTTGAACCCACTTCCAGAAGACTTTCATTCCCACTATGCCAGCAAAAAACGTTCTTTCAAGCCTCACCACCCACTTCTGCCATCCATTCTTAATTACTATCTCATTTTACCTTCTAACATGTCATGGGGTATGTCATTCCCTCCCTCTGGACCACCTGACTAGGTACTCTCCACCTGTCTAAGGGTCCTCTCTCAGCTCCAGGACCCAGGGCTCCTACCTATCTCCTATGTAGCCAGGCCCAGAATCTTCTGCTTTCTTCTCAATTCTCATCTTTCCTTATGTCAACGTTCCTCAAAGTTTAGCATGTGCAGAATTACCCCAGAACTTGTTAACACTCAGATTCTCAGATTCTTCTCACAGAAGTCTTGATACACCAAGCCTGGGGAGGGGCCCAGGAATCTTATTTCTCACTAGCACTTAAATGATGCTTAAGCTATGCATAAGTTGCTGGAACATACTTTCAGCAAGGACGCAGAAGGTATCTTCTAGCCCCACAGGCAGTCCAAATACCAATGGCAACTCATTTACATCTCCAGCCTAGAGGTCTGTGAGGCACCTGCATTCTCTTCCATCCTCAACCCACACCTGCAATACTCCACAAAACTCAGAAAGAGTTACCCATGTTATCCATTGCCCAGAAAACTCCAGGTGTGTACTTTTTTTTTTTTTTTTT